CGAATGTTATAAATTTCAAAAGAATTCGTAAATATCTAAAATTCACTTAAAACGCGCCATAGTATATAAAAAAATTTCTATGAATTCTTAACACTGCGGAAATCTAGCAGAAAACACTAGAAACTGATAATTCATGATAAAAAAATACACTACAGAGGAAATTCTTATTACGTTCTATTATGTAAAGATATGAAAACGAAATTCTCTGATCACAAAAATAGATTATAAGTTTCGACGGAATCGATTAAACTAATATTAAATAGATTTTGATGAATTCACGATTGTAGCCGCGAGATTTCGTCAAAATCCTAATACTCTAGATTCTCTATTTGATTTCGGAAGAAACCAATAAAATGTATGTGATTAGTATAATAATTTGATATCGAATAAACCGATTGCAACATGTACGAACAGAATGAACTCAGTTGCTTCAATGAAAAATCGTAGGAATCGATTCTAGATTTGAAATATTTTTACTGGACGAATTAATTTTTCCATGGGACACTTTTGTGATCCAATTGTGAACTCTGGCTCTAACGTACAAATTGAGCTTTAGAAAGCAATTCAAAAATTGGCCTGGAATCTTTCAGAATGATTCCTCGAGTCTAACTGAACGATAGTCAACAGTAACTGATTTGCTATAGCAGAATATGCTTCGGTTTGTTTAAACATTCATCGAAAAGCTTCATCATGTGAAATGAATTCCATCAGTATTACGTGGTAACTGAATATCTATTCCACTCCATAAAAAACCTTTCAAAAGTAATAAAAAGTTCTTTGTGAAAGCTTCTCGTGCGCCTTGCAGTTCATATAGCGAACAAGCACTTACGAAAGATTCGTGTCTTCCTACGGGAGTTTTCGAATTTTTTTCTTTTTATCTTCAAAGGACTCTTTATGGAAATCTATAAAAGACTGTATCTTGATTTCTGCTGAATAAAATCTATAGCACTTTATGTAATCTTTTTCTTAATTTTCGAATCAATTCGATTATATTTTCCATGATTCATGGATTAGTTTTGACCACCTTTCAATAATTTACTCAAGTATACTTCTGGAGAGCGCATTTTAACTCTTACATAACTTTAGGATGTTCAGTATGTGCTTCAAAATTACACTAATAGGACTTCAATTGATCAGATACTTCTTGATTTTGGTCCCTGTAAATATCGGGATTACAGTCAAAATCTTGATTTTGTCAAACGTCGAATAAGCGCGATTTGAACAATTCAGGTAGTGAATTTTCTTTGAGACTAAGTCTCCATGGGATTCCACTGTTGTCAAAATAACTGCACACTAGCACGATTTGTTAATGAAAGATCTATTCTCATAATATCGGAAATGTTCATTTGGCCGTGCATCTTATCTCGTAGTACTAATAAACTCATCGATAGTGTACTTATTCAGACTCATTATTTTCAACTATTATATTGAGTTCAGACGTACACATACTAAGCAACGGAAGCCAAATAGATGTGTTGTCGCTAGAAACTATGCAGAATATAAGACCAAAAAATGTGGTTTTTAGATATTATTCTCAGCAATATTTGAGCACTTTGGGAAGGGAACAATCTGTTTTCAAAGAATTTAGGTCAAAAGTCTGGAAACTCGTAGTTCTAAAACTTATTTAAAATCAAAAAAGCGTAATAACGTTCATTGAAGGCAAGTTCTGTCGTGTCACATGAAGACTGACTTATAGAATAGCATAACCGAACTTCTGTGTTCTACTCGGTATTTCTCGCATCATTCATTTTCATCCAAGAGGAAAGGCATATTCGTGAATACCCAGCTGCACAGTTTTATCTTTCCTATTTCTATGAGATACTCGTATCGTCGATACGGTGACAATCTGGAGGATCCAATGGCGATCCATACAATCCAGTAGATATAACGGGAATCCAGACAATCCCACAATCCGGCGATCCGCTCCCTCCCCCTTGACTAATCTTGTTTCTGCGTCTAAACTTGGTTTTGCTAAACCCCTTTCTAGTTGATGGAACTGATGAATCGTTTGAACTACCTTCTGATAAGCCCTTCTCTAGTTGATAAAGCTAATCAACGCTTTCTGTTAGCTCTACGAAAGGTAATACTTAGGCATTTTGTTATCATATATCCGTTTATAAACGAATATCCGTGTTGAAATTAATGGGTTTTTTAATTTCATCTGCCCTTTGAAAAGATTTAGAAGAATGAAACGTATAACATACCATTTAACCGGTTTTGAATCATATAAACGTTTTGATAAACCATTTCATAAAGGGTATTTTAAGTTGATGAACCGATTTTTTTCACTATTTTTAGGGGTAGATAAAATGGTTTAGTACATTCTGATAAATGGTAGAAAAGGGTATATTATTCGTTTCATTTTGATAAACGTTTTAAAGGTTTATCATTCTACGCTTTTTTTTCAGTCTGTGGAGTGTGGGTGTGAGGAACGGATGTAACTGTTCGTGATGTGAGGACCCATAATTACACCCTCGAAGAGAATCGTATCATAGTCGAAAAAACGACTTTCTGTATCAATTGAATACGTTTCGGTATAGACTGTGGGTGTGAGTGCGAGTTGTCTTGGTTTATGGAGTTGGTTGTCAATGTACTTGTTGTCTTCATCTCATTCTTATAACTCCCAAGCAGTAGCTGTGAAAATGTTCTGATACACGTTCTGATTAATGACTGAAAAATATTTCATGTGAATATAATATTTATTTAATATTCAAAAGAAATGAGAAAAAAATGAAATGAAAGAAGACCAATATTAAATTTAAAAAAAAATAAAATTAATATAAAACAGTAGTTCTCGTTCCGTTTCTTGTTTCCATCAAATGTTTGGACACTCATCATAAATCCATTTTGATTAATATGCATCACAATCGCCTCCACCGAGTTGACACGCTTCTTTTGATTCATCTGGTCTGTAACATTTTGGTCTCGAAACATCGCATGATACCAGTGACCCACCACAAGTCCACGCTCCCTTGTATTTACATTTACATGCTTTGAGACTCGGTGCTGGCCATGAAATCGTACATCCTCCTTTATGATAGTCGCAATCGCATTTGTTTGGAGAAGGAAGAGAAGCGGTTGCAACTGGAATTGAGCTGGATGGCGTTGCTAATTTTAGACCCATCGAAATAGCTAAAGTTTTAGCTAAATCGACCCGATTTGTTACTATTCCTTGTACACCGAGCTCAATGTAGGTTCGCATAGAGGATTTCTTATCGAGAGTCCAAATATAATTCATTCCATGTTGACCAGCGGCTTTACCAGCAACACTTTGGCTAATACCAGTATAGTAAGTACCTGGTACGCAAGAACTAATACCAGTTCCATATACACGATTGTTGGTAAAGCGAGAAAGCATTGCTATAACGTCAAAATATCGATCATCTTCTTGATCAAATGAAAAAAAATAGCGATTTGCATTCGGCGAAAGTTTGGCTGCTTCCGCTGCTGCTTGCAAATAATCGTATGTATTGATTTTTCCGCATCCAATGATGACTTTTCCCTTAAAACCATAGTTGAAAAGATCTCTGTCTAAAAGAGCCACCACAGATTTTCCAAGGTAACCAAGTCTGGATGCCATTTTGGATTCTACTTTAGAGTCGATAATTACAAGTGCGATATTAGAAAGGCGAGCGATATGCTGCAGATGAGCATCAGCATCTTGGCTAGCAGAAGACCCAGAACATTTGCTACCAAGGCCACCTGCACAAATGTGACCAGATGGATGTGGACAACTACAATCACAGAAACCTCGGTGCTCAAATAAATATGGATTTCCGCGATTGTCAAATTGAAGGTCGGTTTCTATTGCATTTGCACCCTGTGATACTGCCCAATCCAGAGATGGTCCACTATTCGCCATATGGGCAATGATGTAGAAAGGATCTTGTGTCTTCGTTGCTTCCACTATGATCGTGGCTGGTAATTTTAAGAACAAGAAGACGAGAATGATGAAATGCAAACTTTCCGCCTTCATTTTAGTTCGTATATCTAAAAATGAAGTAAAGGATGAGACAAAATTAATGACAACATCAGTGTTTTCTTGGTATCTTCCTCAAATATCATTCTAACTACTTCAATTATTCTTAAAAGATACATCGTATAAGTCTCTACAAAATTTCCAACATCTTATTCATACAAGTAACGCAGCGTAATCGTTGCTAACGCTCTACTGAAAGAATTTGACGCTGTTTAACAGATGATATCTGGACAATGAAATATGACAAATGATCTGCTCACGTTTGCGTGAAAGAACAAAATTAAAGGAATAGTTCACGCCCCAATCGGAAATGACGTATCCCGATATTCTCTATATATATATTGTATTTAACTTGTGTGTCCTCGGTGTTTCCACTATATTTTTCATATGCTGAGCGTATCCACTATGCTCTCTATATCTCCAGTGCATCTCTGGTATTCTCCGTACCAGAGTTATACTATATCGATCACTGGGTCCTCCAATTAAACTGATACTAGACATCATTCAAAATTCAGGGAGGGGGGGCGCAAGGGAGGGTAAGGGAAGTCGTGGATATTCACGTAAGTTAAGAGTATGTGTACTACTTTGAGCTTTAACAATCCAGACATAAGTCAATATGAAATTCGTAAGCGTAAACAAGATCATTGATAACAATTAGCTTTTTGATCGCATAAAGCTAATGGAACTGGGCTGACTTCGAAAAAGTTAAATAGTGCTGAGTCATGAGTAGTGTCACATATCCAAGATTTTGGAGATGCCACCACATCTCCCGTGGGAGATGCCGTGTCTCCAGCGGGAGACGCGACACCCACACTCGAGAGATATGGTCATTCACCACTGGAGATGTAAGATCTCCTTTAGAGATGCGCATCCCCCACACCCACAACCGCATCTCTCGCGGGAGATACGGCATCTCCCACGGGAGACGTGGTGGCATCTCCAAAATCTTGGATATGTGACACTGCTGTCTTCATGAGTCTGGAAAAGTTCTTGCTGCGAGAAAATGACAATTGTGTAACCACAGTAATCTTAAAAAAGCTTCCTACTTTAATCAATGGTTCCTTAAAAACAGCTTAGTTTAGAACGGCTTTTGCCAGAATGATTGCCTTCGACAACATAATATCGCAAAGTTTTCTCAAATTGGATACGAATTCTCTTCTAGAAACTTTGCCAGAGAAAGTCGAATTTTTTCAAGAAAGTTTGAAACGCTTGTTGTTTCGCGACAAATTGTAACGTTGTCATTACTAGACACAGACTATCAGATTCGATGCACAAAAAATTTGCTTCGTTCAACCTTGATAGCCTCGGTATCTACTCACACTGCCCCAATCCTGGGACCCTCGTGTAGGACATGAATAGTGCCCAGCATGACCTTCATGAGTCACAGTGGCCTTGATCATCGCCGTAACCTACTTGTATGAAACCTGCTCATTTCTTGACAAACTCTGTAAGAATCCTGTCTAAAATTCGCGTGATCCCCATGTACAGGATCGCTTGAGAGTAAATAGAATTTATTTTAGAGACTTGTTCAAGATTTCGCATAGATGTCTTTTCTAATAATCATACAGAATCATACTAAGATTCAGCCTCATTCCTAACTAGGACTCCTACAGGAATAGCAGATACGATTCTGTCGAGATTCTATTGAATCCTAGCCGGGATGTGTTTTACACATTGAAACGAAGATCCTATCAAGAAATGTAGGTAACTCAGAAGAGAATCTTCATACGAATACAACACGAAAGTGTGAGTTTGAGTTAAATGATTTTATTAGAAGCCTATACTCACATGGATATGCACACCTGCATCTCACATTCGCAGCAACTTTGTCAATATTTTAAACATTTCTTGAGTATGGATGAAATGAGGATGTGCGTCGACTATAGTAACGTGTGAGTCGAAAGTTTTCGGACAAAATGTTTCTTAATTTTTGACTCTTTTGAAAGTATTTCTGACAAGTCAAAAGCTACCAGTTATGACCAGAATTTTGTACCCTTTCTGGATATGGGCTTAGAAGTTTCGTCTTAGTCGTTGCTCGAGAGTAGTAAGATAATCTTTGAAAGGCTCAAAAATTTAGTTTGAACAGAACATATGAGCCCAGGTCTCTGATGAAAATGTTTGTTCATTTTAGCGTGTTTGAAAGTGTTTCACATGAGCAAAAATGATGGATAACAATCAGAGTTCTGTGCTATTTTTGAATATGGACTTAGAAATGTTGTATCTATTTTCCTTAGAGAGTAACAAGGAAATTATTGAGCGACCTAAAATAATTAGTTTCAATAGTGAACGAATAGATTTTTGCTGGCCCTATAAGGCCCTTTTCCAAGATGCTTAAAGTTGTCGAACTCATTGAGTTTTTAGAGCGAACACTTCTTTACAAAATTTGATAGTGAACGACGCTGTAGCTTTTAGCCAAATGAAGCTATACACATTTTATCAAGACCTCTCTTCTACGAAAAATACTTTTTGGTCAGAAAGTCGATTTTTCAAGAAAAATGGTTTAGAAAAAAACGAAAGTTAAGGTGTCCTGTCGAAAGACAATAAAAATCTCAAATACTTCATTTTGTAATGTAGCTTCTGTTCTACAAGCTGATATGTTAATATAGGTTTCAAATTTTATCTTCGAATCACAATAGTAAAAATACAAAAATTTGGGAAAGAATTTTCCGTTCAAACTAATTTCTTGAGCCTTTCAAAGATTATCTTACTACTCTCGAACAACGACTAAGACGAAACTTCTAAACCCATATTCAGAAAGGGCACAAAAGTCTGGTCATAACTGGCAGCTTTTGACTTGTCGGAAAGACTTTCAAAAGGGTCAAAAATTAAGAAACGTTTTGTCTGAAAGCTTTCGACCTACCGATTAGAATCTGACTCAGTTTTTTGTGCTGATTCCATATATCGCATTTGTTTCAAGTCAAACGTTAATACTTCTATTCGAAAGCCGTACAAAATTAGTCAACAAAGAAGCAAGTTGACTCGCAAGTATAGTACTTAGACACAAGTGCTTTATTACACATCGAATTTCTATTTGAAAATAATGTCATCAGAAAGAGCACATTGAATTGTATATTTCGTAAAAAATCTCGCTGATGTACTTGTTGAAACTATAACTTTATGAGATTCAAAAAATCATTACTTTTAACAAAAGGAGTCGATTGTGACGCTACTTGACATTTATCGCTAGAAATAGATTTGAATATTTAAAAAATTTCTTATAGATTCTGATAGATGATAAAATTTTGCATCGAATGAATCTATTATCAACGAATCTAAATGGAAGTTTATTTGATTTTCAGGTCAAAAACTGGATTTTAATTTTTTCAGAGAGTACTTCAGATCTTTCCTATGATCTGAGTAGTTTTCAAAAAAAAATTATATTGTAGTCAGAGTACTTATTGCTATCGAAATATAAGGCCTTGTAATAGAACGGCGATAAAAACTTTTTTCGATAGCGGGGAGGGATCCTGATGTGCAAAATTGAGTTGTGATACAGTACAAAGTAAACTGGTGAAAAATAATCAGGGCTCAATGTTGATTGTCACGCTAATAAAGTTAGATTCAAGTTCTTTGGCACGTTTGGTCCGTAATTTAACACATCTCCTTTCAATATTTGAAGAACAGAACAATATTTCTTCAAACGACTCGTATACAAATTCATCCAACACTTGCTTCTCTTACATATATAAAACCATCCAAATCAGAAATTATCAATTCAACCAGCTTCTACGGGAATCGTTCGCGACTCACATGGAATGGCTCTTGTATAAGCGCTACAAAGAAAATTGGAATAGATACCTACTTGTAGTAAAACTAAACTGATGTATCTATACAAAACTTCCATAATCACAATAGACATTAACATTATGCTAATACTAATTTAACACTAATGCCAATGTATTAAATTATTTTCTTAACTCTAATACAAAAGTATTGGCATTTTTTAAATACTAATGCTAAGCCGACACTCCTAGTTTACGTGCTGTAACTACAGGATGTCCAACAAGTAACAAAACACAGAAAGGTTTGAACATATATCTCCATCATATTTTGGCCAAATAGACTGATATTTGTACCACTGATAAAGACCTATGCATAGCTCATATTCATAAGAGAAACGTTGTCAACAATTGTTTTGAAGTAATACATCTAATTTCAATAAGAAAGTGTAATATTTTCCACGTTATGAAAAAAATATATATTTATTCCCTTAGTCAAGGATAAACGACATATAATTTTTTCAATTACTTCTTCACACTAGTGCCGTTTGGTTTCATACTTATACTACAGATAATATCTTGTTACTCAATGTACTCTGAAAGTTTCAGCCATTGACACAACTGCAATATTTATTTTTCATAACTCATGAAACGTTACAGTTTTTTGTTGAAGTTAGCTG